CAAAATCCTTTCACTTTGTATTTATGAAAGAGGGAAAAAGTTTAATAGAAAAGTTGAGTTTAAGAGCGTATACTCAATATGAGTATAAATAAAAGTTCAGTTCAATTTTATGCTGGTGAAGATAAAGAAAAAATATGTATTTTTAAGATTGAATTACGTGTTTAAGTAAGTTCATTTCTTGGAGTAGAATTTTTCTGCGGTTAATAAAGAATTCATGTTTTTTTAAAATGTCGTTTTATTGATTTAAAAAGATATTTGTAGAGTTTCATGAAAATAATACTCTAGCTATAGATTTTAGGGATTCAGATTCTATTCAGGTAAAAGTATTCCATTAAGGAATGTTTCACAGCTTTTATTTTCAGAAATTGATTACATTTTACTACGTGTGAATTTCTAAAATTATAGATGGAATGTCTCGTCTCATACGAGTCTTTCTATATTAATTCATAGCTAAAAATGGATTGTTCTTATTAATTTTAAATTATTAGAATTTTTCTTCAGAAAAAGTCAATATTTCAGAAAAACTATTATTTGAAATCAATGAATAATAACTCTAGAAATTAGACTCATTAAGAAAAATCCTATCTATTTTGCTATTGAATCGTAATAGTTAATCTGCGTGAGTTGATAAAGAATAATGAAATAATGAATATAGAATAATGAGAAGATTATATTTTTTCTGGGATTCTTATAATTTTTTTAATGTCATCTTATTTTACTTTTATTTTATTTTAATAATTTTCTTCTCTTTTCATTATTCTATAATTTTTTCCATGTTTTCTCTATATTATGAACTTATTTTAGGAGTCCTAAATACTTGCAGCTTATGCGCAGTAAATTAAACTTATTAATTTTCTATGTGTATGTCTTTTTCTCNAAAGCGAGTAGCGAATTCAAATGTACTTACATGAACGGAATATATATATATATATATATATATTCAAGAATGTAATGGTCCATACTGCTATACATGCTGCTACTATATACAAATATATCTGCTACTATATGCATCAGGTGAGAAAGGACGATGATTTCCACGTTTATTTATTTGCTAGAATTCCAAACTTATCATAAAATTTCTTTAAAACACCCTGTATATGATATTTCAGCATTTGAGCTGTATGCAAAAAAAAACAAATCAACCAAACTTATTACGATTTGGAACCTTTGGTTTCTTTGCAGAGAGAATTGATTTCAGATCCTGCAAAGCTAAGATAATTTCAATCTTCCATTATGTCTCCTACATTTCCATTATTTTATTATATTGATAGTGAATCACCCTACTTTTATACAAATTGCACCATTAAAATTGTTTTAATTTATACCTCTAAACAGAAATACAAACATGTAAAAAAATAGCAAGTTTTAGCTCATTATAAATACAAGATAGATAAATTCAGACAAAATTAATCTATGAACATCAGGGAATGAATTACGTGTTCATTTGTAAAAAAATTAATTTTTTTCGGGAATAATAAATAATTTATGCATTTTTAAAATTTATTTTTACATTGCTTTTGTTTAAAAAAAGAAAAAAAAAACATAGCTCTTAAAAAAAACTTGGATCAAGAATTTCGAGATTCCATTAAATCTTCTTATTTTCATTTTTGGAATTCATTTACAAATTGGTAGAGAGAATATGAAATTTTTTATTAATTTTAAAGAAGCACAAGAAATTTTTATAAATGCAAATTATTCTCAAATGAAAATTACATCTAAGATGTATAACGACTAGGTATTCTCCCACTAAGAAGTTAAAGTTTTGTTGAGAAAAAATATTTTTAATAGCGAACATTATTATTTAGAAACAAAATTACTTAGAAGATATTTTATTTATAAAATTTTTTAGCTTTAATAAAACAAATTGTTTTTCTTTATACGTGAACTACTTTCATTACTTTAATACATTTAGTTAATTGATACATTTTGGTGTAATGATGCATTCTGTTACATAAATTATTTACTGAATAAATAATAAATAAATAAGAGATTAAAAACAGTTTATATCAATGTAATACTGATTTGAAAAATTTTAAGATGGAATTTCAGAAAAATAAATGATATAGTTCCAAAGGAAAGTTTTGTTTAGACATGATAAAAAAAACATCCACATTTTATGATTAAAATTAAAATTTCTTGCATTCAGTATAATTTTATTTGACTAATAAAGTACTCCCTCCTTTTAAAGAGTAATATCGTGGATTTATTTTCGAGTTATTAAAAAAAATTCTTTCGTGTATTTTAGGGGCTTCGGTTTATTTTACGGACTTAAATCGGAGCATTATTGTAGAAAATAGTTTATTTAAAAAATATTTATATAAATTAACGTTGTGTCTTTTTCTGCTCATAGAATTTAAGTTATAATTCTATTTACTGAAGAAAATTATGCAAGCAATTGCAAATCAGTCAAAATTCCTCAATTGACAGTATTATTATTTATTTAAAATAGAGTTTTTAATACTTATGCTATTAAACATTTTTGCATTATGTTTTTAGAATTTTTAAATTTATGGTATTGTTGAAAATTTCAGTTTTATTTTCAAATAAATTAAGTGAAATATTCATATTTTTAAACAATAATTCTAATCTTTACTTTCGTTTTCTTTTAAAAATGATTCACTTTTATATACAGCTTTCCTGGTTTATGATTTAAAACACACATATTTTAAATTACAAGAAACTATACTGATCTTAACTAACGAAACTATATTATCTTTAACTATACTGATGATTTTCAAGAATTTCTAACTGGAATATTTTTTAGATTAAAAGGACAATTGCTGCAGAAAATATATGTAACAAGAGATAGGTTTTCTTTTCCAGTGTTTCTGATTTTAGTCTTAAAAGTTTTGTCAGATAAAAAAATATGTAACCAAAAAAAATTAAAATAATAAGATAATTTTTTAATTAATGAATGAAAATCAACTTTCGATATTTTCGAAATATCTACCATCATCACATGTCCTAATTCGAAGAGCAAATTAGTGAATACAATGAAAGAATGGTGGAAGGGACTTGCAGCGCTATCTATCGAATGCTTTTTATACTAAAACCAGCGAATCTGATATTAAAATGCATATACTATCACATGAATTGCCAGCAAGATTCCGTTTATTTTCAATTTAGTTTTGCTTTCGTTGTTTTCCAGTTTCAGAATATTTGAAAACCGGCATTCTAATTTAGGACATATTCTGTGTTTGTCACATGATCGATCGGCTTGCATTTAATAACTACGGTGGAAACCATTAAATACCTAATATCAATGTAGAATTACGATTAATTGTTTTATTTAATATTTGGTTTAGAAAAAATCTGTAATATAAAAGCGAGTTTCAAAATTATTTTTGTCTCAAAGACTTTTAATAATTATAATAGGTCTTATCATTTATTGTTTCAATTGAGAGAAACTCTTGAATAAGCATTTTATCATGCTAAATACATTACCTACATCAAATTATACTTCCTTTAAAAATTATAATACATTACTTTTAAATTCTTCAGATATTGAATTGGCATACGCTGTTAAAAAACAATAACAACAGAATATATTTAACATAAGATCTTTATTAAGAGACTTAAAGCAAATGTAGTAATTAAAAACTAATTTATTTAAATTACCAAACATTTTTATTATAGTATCAATTTCATAAAGTAAATATCATTACATTGAATTTACAAAAGGTTTTTTGAACTTGAATTAGTAAACTTTTACGGACTTATATCTATCTCAATTGATAAAATATTTACACACATTTTTTTTTACTTCATCCATGAATCAATGCATGCCTCATTTTCCTTTCAACTACGACCCAAAATAAAAAGACCCGAATAGAGTTTGACCTATTTGGCATAAGTTGTGAATTCCTGACTTAGCATATGCTTTATTCTATTTGGTTAATATTTTTAATTTAATGCTATTTGACTTTTCAATTTGTCTATAAGTATCCTTAAAATACCAGTAAACTAAATGATTACGCATTTACTCTGAAAACAGTACGGAGAAAAACTGCATAAAAAACAACTTTTAATTTTTTGACAGTACAACATTTATAGCCTTCCGTAAATTTCATCTTTAGCATAAATACAATCTTGGGTGTCGAGGTTGTTTGAAATAGAACAATTTAAAAAAAATCTAAATAGAAGCTTGTTGGAAAAATTTTAATGTTTTGTTTTTTGTTAATTTTACATTTAATTGTATCATTTTTTTACTTGATTTTATTTACTTTTTATAGCTTGTATTTAAACAATGAGCTAAAAAATTTTATTGCTTAATTTTTCAAACAAATTTCAAGAAAAAGAAACAGAAAAAAGAATTAGAAAAACAGTGACCTAAAAAAATCATGAAATTTGCAAAAAACAAATATTATTTTTAAAAATTTATGTGTAAAATGTTTAACAATTCATTAACTTTGTTAATTGCGGCTTTAACCATTATATTCAACTTTATTATAAAATAGCACAAGCAACTGAGTGTTTTCAAAAGAATTCTTACCTAATTGAGAATAATATAATGGAAAAAAACTAATATTTAATATTTTTTTTTACTTTTATTCCAAAAGTGTTTCATAATTTAAAACACTTTGTTCAACTTTATTGTAAAACAGGAAGATATCATGAATTTTAACATATTTTTTTTTTTAATAATTTTTACCTGATTAGATATCAAACATTTAAAAAAATTAAGTGTTTGCACATTTTTTGTTGTTGTTACTTTTTAACCCCAGAAAATGAATAAATGAAGAAAAAAAATCATTTTCTTAGAAAAATGTAGTTGTGTAAACGTTAAAACGTTCTTAACTTTATTATTTGTGATTTTACGCACTTTTTCATTTTTATTGTAAAGCAGCATCCAGATTTCCATCGTTTTCTGGAACTCATTGCCTACACATTAATTCTTACCTTATTAAACAACGCTCTTCGCTAAACTTTTGTAAAAAATGAGGATGGCAGAATTTTCATTAAAATCATTAATCACAAATATGTACTTACTTGGGACATACCTGCATAGTAGGCAACTCTTTTTCTCCTTTGATAATTTGTTCCTGGAATTTCAACAACACATTCGAAGCCAGATGTCCCAGGCATCAGAAGCTCCTGGTGGTCGAAGCTTTTATACAGCGTTGTGTTATAAGTGTCCTTTGAATTGGCGATAAAAGTCTGAGCATCTTTCACCACTGACGGTGTCCTTTCTTTGGGTAAGATTCTGTAGAGATTAATCTTTGGTCTGGGATAAAGACCTGTAGCCTCACAGCTGACGTTTAGATAATTCGAGTTTCTTTGGAATTTTACGTCCATCGTTTGAGCTGGTACTAGAATGGATTAAAAGCAATAAATAAGATTCAGTTTCAATTTATTTAACACTAGAGTGGATTAACAAAAGAATTATAAAGCTCATATCTATGTTCATATAAATAAAAGTTATATTTGCGTTCAGGAAAAGACAAATGCCCTAAAATTATCTGTCTTAAAAATATTTACCACACAGAGTTTGCTAAAATATCATTTCTGAAAAATGTGAATCTAATTGAAGAATTTTCCAGACATTCCCCACAGAGAAAAAAATATGATAAAAACTAATAGAATATAGTAAACTTGGCTATGTTCCTGACTAAATAAGAACATTAAGTAGGCAATTGTTACAGAACAGCTTTGATAATGATTTTGATAAAATTGACAGTATAATATGGCTTTAGAACATCTGAAAAAATTTAGGAATTTTATCGTGATATCTTAAAACATGGCATAAGAACCACTTGTTTACTTAAATTTAATTATCAATTTTATATTTTGTGTAGTAATGTACGTGTGGTACGTGTGGCAAGCGTGTGGTAATAATAACTATGATTTTTAGAATCAGAATTTTTTGTTAACCGTTACTATATAAACCAAAAAGTTATTCAATTAATGGTTTAAAAGACCATACATGTTGGTGTTATTACAAGAAAATTATCTTTTTTTACGAGAATTATCATCACCATACGGTACAATAATTTCACCAGATTTCTTTTCTTCGTGCATTTAAACCATAAAATGCCAAAATTTCTCTATAGGATAAGTCATAATTGCAATATCATTGGGCTAAAAATAAAACAAAAAATTTTGCAAAAATACGTTGCTCGAAAATTTACTTGTCTTTTGAGTTAAATTAATGATTCGTAAAATCAAGGTTGAGAGCGTTTTTCTTCAAATCTACTATTTAAAAGCATTGCTTATCGGTATTGATGAAATTAAATATGAAATATACAACCGAAGACTATACAATTTTACTTTATTAAATTAAAATCACTGAAAGTTATATCATTTTGAAAAAAAATTATAGCTTATTTTCCTTAAGTGAAACATTTTGATAAAACATTTAATAAATAATTATATATTTAAAATTATTTATTTTTTTTATAAAATATTATTAATTTATTTTATTAAAAAAATAAAATTAATTAAAGCTTCTTTATCTAAACTAAACAACAACGATAATAACATAATCATTTAATATTGCCTATGGCTTTTTAATGTTCATTGTTTAGGTTCAAAAAGTTTTATTATTGTAAGCCAAAAATAAATATGTGCCCCAGAGACGTCTTAATACCTCTTGTTCATTTCCTTTTCTTAAAATCAACTAGAGATTAATCGTTAAAAGCCTGACGGCACATTTAAAATATTTGTGAAAACTTTAGTTTTTATCAAATACGAATTTCTTAAGAAATAATTTTTTATAACTGATTCCTATGTTTGCCATAAAGTGAAACTATTTAAACAAGTATTACTGTTATAAGCGAAAAGATTTTTTTTACAAAAAATTTAATTTGAAAGTTAGCTAGTGGCAATAAAGGCATTTTTAATTTAAAGCTTGCTAATTAAATCCATTGTGACCAAATAATGAATAAAAATAATTTAGCGAACAAGTGAGCGAAGTGATAAGTGTTTTCTGAGAAAATCGCGAAACAATGATAAATTTGTTAAGTGTCTATACTTTATTTACTGAAACAAAGCTTATTAAATTTGAAAATATTTGTTCATAGTTGGAGTCCTTTTTTTGCAAATACATGTAACAAATATTTATAATTCCTTATAGTCGAACCTATTTAAAAATTACATTATAAAATTTGTTGCTTATAATATGTTTAAACCTCGGCTTAGACCCTACATGGAATTGTAAAAGCCTATCAACTACTTTGTTAACAACTCGGTTTTATAAAATTAATTTTTATTTGAATAAAATTTACGAAGTAGTTTATTTTTAACTACAGATCTTTTTGGGCTGACGAAACTCATTTTATAATCTTCTTAAAATGAATGCATTTTTTTATTCAGTTGTAGCAAATAAAAAGTATACCAAAATGCTCATAAGTCTTCTATGAGTTATCTTAAAACTAATTTTAAATAAAAAAATACTAAAAAATTGATTAAACAAACAGAATGTATTATGTTTAAATACCTATTATGTTTAAATACCTAAGCTATACCTAAATAGTTTTTGTGAAGGGTTTTAACCAACAATCTATATGCTGAATTACTTTTTTTAATTATTATATGTCTGCTCAATAATTACTATCTTGCTTAATTTTGCAATTTAAGAGGAGTTAGTTACCTAGTCTAATATTTGTAATTACATCTTCATACTGCATTTATATTTTATTGTGTTAAAAAGCAATTATATTGCATCCATTCTGATTTTACTTTATTTACTATCATGTAAATAATGTCGGTGTATCGTAACACCAAAAATAAGGGCAACTACTTTTCCTCAAAGTATTGTTTCATTAAGTGTACCATTACGCCAAGAATCTTCTTTTTCCCTACTTATGTAAAGAAGCCACCACCATTTTTTACATTTAAAAACATTAACATTTATAATTACAGTAAGATAAGATACATATTAGAGTCAGTAATGCTATTTTTGCGATGCAATATAAAATAAGAATTATAGTGAAATATGTATATATACACTAATTCTTGAATTCAAAAATGTAAATCAGACATTGTAAATCAAACATTTGAGTAGGATAAAAAACTATTAAGACGAATTTGAACTAGATTTAGCAGAGCAGAGATGGATAGAGAATGATAAGATTACTTAATATAGTTCACAGAAAATTAGAAATTAAAATATAATTATCTTATCGATTGAAGTCTAGCTGCGTCAAAGACTTCTCCTAACTCACGCTAACTCATTCTCGATTCCAAACTAAATACTGCTTTCCATATACCGCCAATATAGGAATTTTCTGAAGTGAAAAAAAATCCTCGTTTGGTGTGAAGGAACGGAAGTTCGGTGTAGGTTCCATTGTAGGTATTTAGATTTAAATTGCACCCTTTAAATTGTTTATGAAAGTTAAATATGATGTTAATCTGATATAAAATGTTTCTTAACACAATTATAAATATATGTCACGGCGAAAGACCGAAATCGGTGGTTGTTGACTTTCACCGGTGAATGTCGACAAACACCAAATACGTCGGTGAAAGATCGAATATTTCATTACATTCTTGTACATTCGGACCCTCACCGGTGTATGTCGACAATCCCAGATATGCTTCGGTGAATGTCCGAAATATTTATTACATTCGATTTGATGTGAATTTATTCGTGGATATAATTACATTCATTCGATATTTTAACCCTATGCTGATGTTTTTTTAAGGTTAAGTGCCACTGCCCGGAATACATTTGCCCGATACTGATGTTTCTTCTAATCTATCGTCAGTAAGTATTATAATATAGAATAAATATAAATATATCAAATAAATATAATAATATTCACGAATAAATTAATATAAAATTGGATATAGCAAATATTTCGGACATTCACCAAAGCGACTATGTGATTGTTGACATTCTCCAGATTTCGGTGCTTCACCGTAACATATATGTATATATATATATATATATATATATTAACTTCGTATGAAATAAACTCTAAAGTGTTTTAAAAAACAGTTCTTTGTGATACATGAAGTCAAAATTAATTAAAAGATAAAGAATTTTATGAATATTAACACAATTATATTCAAAAGGGTTTTTATTTAGAAATGAGGAGCTGTTGTTAATTTTGTTTCATGTCATCAGCTTCAATGTACATTTTAAAAAAATCATATCGCAAGTGAATATTGAAACAGAACACTTTAACAGAATTTTATCAGAAGCTTGTTGGCTTACAAATTTTTTAATTTGAGTTTGGAAATATCTTATCCATTAGATGATAAGCTTGCACTCAAATTTTGGTCAAGTGCACATTCGGTGGGACAAAACCTTCCGTTTTTTCAAATAACAGTAGTAAACCAAGAGTTGGAAGTAGGAACGAAAGCCAGCAGGACAAGATACAAAAATGTACTGTAACCTTATTCCTGAAAAACTAACACAGTAAAATTGTGTGCACATTTCCTCTGAAAGGAATGATTAAAAAAATTGTCTTTCAATACGTTAAAATCAACATGCTATAAAATTGCATTTTAAAATTTTATGTTCTTAAAAAAATTGCTCCATATGCTGAAAAAAATTTATATAACAGTGGTGAACGCATTCTTTCTAAATTTTAATACAGTTATAGATATAAAGTTTCAATTCTCGTACGAGTGACTGATATAGATTTTATGTTATATTTCATCAATTTCAATACATTTTCAATAAATCACCCCACAAAAAAAGAAGCATTTCAACGGAATTTCGTAAAAAAGCGTGTAGGTATGTTTTTGGGCAATGTCTAATCCATTAGCCAGAAAGTTTGATTACAGCCCGTATACCGGTAAAGTGCACTTTCGGGACTGAGAAGAATCTTTCAGTCTCTTCAAATAACAGCAACGGAAAAAGAGCTGGGAGCAACAAAAAACAATAGAACAAGACACAGAAATAAGTTTCTACCTTAAAGAAGCAAATGTTTATGAAGAAGGCTGTATCGTAAAACCCAATCCTTTTCAAATATCGACTTATATTGGAAAGAAACTTTTATGAAAGTCTCTCAACAATTTCAAGATTAAAAAAAAAGTTTTATTTGTTTCAAAACGTCTGTTATTTCCTTGAGGTCTTCTGCGGGAAATGAAAAAGAATATTTTGAGAAACGAGAACATAAATGATACTTTCTATTGTAAAAAAGTTTTTAAATTTAGTCGTCTTTCAAAGAAATGGATTTAAAATCAATGATATTGCTAAATTTTTATTTGTTATCATAAAAACAAGGATTTTTCGAATCGCATGAATTAATTTCGTGAAAAAACAATTAAAATTTTCACTGCATCGCTGCTCTTAATAAATAATGATGATTGCATGCGCGTCCAATTACACTCAACTGCCAAAATATAATATTATATTTCAATCAATAGTTAATAACTTAAGCTTCAAGATAATTAATGAAAAATGAAACGAATTTTTAAAACAAGTTAAAGAACACTGTTTGTATGAAATATGAGTTAATTGCGGTTTTTTATAGTTCATTAAATGGCTCGAAAAGTCTCAAAATGCTTACGTATCCATCTGGGAACGGAATTCCACTAATTTATTTTAAATAATTATTTTTTATTCAATTTTCAGTTTTTTTTTTACTCAATTATCAGTTATTTTTTTCTTAATTATCAGTTATGTTCTTTTAAATGTTTACTTCATTTAAGAATTAGGCAGAAATTGCACTATTCTAAAGTAAAACACACCTTCAACCGAAATTTTTTTTTGTCCACTCAGTGCTCCTTAACTAATCAGGACCGTTGGGTGGGTTAAGATTTTTAACCCATAAAGACTGCTCATACGTGTAAAATTATTTAATTTCTTATTTAATTTTGAGCTATCAGACTGGTTACATGAGTTTATTTGATTTGTCAAGCTGATCGAAATAGCTTATGAGTAATCCGCAATACTTCCATCTATGTTGCATAGAATAACGTAGAGGAATGTGACTGTTGGATTTTTACGACTTACATTTCATGTCACTGTTTTGTTCGGCAATTGTATGAGAGTTGGTATTATTTTGTCCCTTTCTCACTAAATATGTATAGAAAAGCTATGAATGTAAATGATATGGACTCACACAGCAAACATAAGGTTTACTTTTTTACATGACTCAAATCAGCTTAGAAAAAACCCAATGAAAATAGAATAATCATTCAAATTCGCAAAAGCACTTAAACATGGAAAAAGAGACTTAGCCGTTATTAACGTTCATTTTTTTTCTTTTTTGAAGAAAAGTGATAATGATAATCAAACAGTTTGAAAAATACTTAGTATAAATGTAATTTATAAAAATACACCAATTGTTTTTTTTCAATTGCTTTCAACAATTTTATTTTTGATAGTTTTGCCTCCGTTGTGGGCATAGTTACCTGGTCTGTTGTTTAGGTAACTTTGACCTCCAAGATTTATAATTTTAATAAAATAAAGAGCTGAGATAATCTATTTAAGAAGCGTTATTCAACTCTATAAGCACTTAGTATCCCTTATAGATTAACAATTTGAAAGATTATGAATAATCTATAAACGCATAATTCCAATATCCTGCAATTCAAATGCACATAAAAAAGAGGTTCAACCTTACAAAAAAATTGCTTATCAGCTGTAGTCACTCTCTTGTAGGGTAAATTACCTCGCTTAACCATGGACAAGTATCTAGCCTATTTCAGGGCTCTATCGCTTGATAGCTATGGTAGCCGATTTTGACCCCTAAATCAGACGCCAGAATTAACACTAATTTACCAAAATAAGTCTAACCAGAAAAAACTCTCCGTTTTTATTGCGGTTGAGCTAACAGAAATAAATCGCACTTTTTCCGAAATGGTTTTTATTTTCAAAATTTACAAAATTGTTTATTGTACTAGATTTATAAGTTTTTGATTCAAAAGGCAAATTAATTGTTAATTATTGTCATTTAAACACTGGTTTCCAAATAATTGAAAACAAATTAATTTGATACATGATTTAAAATGCATTCAATTTGTTTTGAGATCATTGTCATGTCCCTTTAATTAGGACGGAGTATCTTATATAAAAAAAAACAGATACTAAAACCTTACGGAAATTATTATTATTATGTTTTATTAATCAAATTTTTATTAAGAAGCTTAACTTTTGATATGACATATTTTAAATGTATAGGTGGAGCGCAGTGATTTTAATTATAATTAATTCAATTTACTCCATTAAAAATTATTAGTTTTTATGAAAGTAATGTTTATGTGTACTGATTGCTTTATAGATTACGTTTCAATGGAATATTTTTTCTATATAAAAAATACAATTAGGCTGGAGACATTTTGTGGCTTTTTCACCCTATAAGATTCATATTATGGTCAATTTGCAGACGCAGCAAATATCGAAAATATTTGTTTATCAATGTAATGTATAAAATAAATATTCAGTGTACGCATTAATACTGGCCATAAAATTGGTACGCTTCCTTAATAAACAAATACTTATAAATAATTTATTTATTCTTTATATAAATATATTTATCATCCTTTCTTAATATAGTCCTCTACTATTAATATGATTTGATTTTTAGTTTTATTTAAAATTGAAGGCTTAAAAATAAAATTCATATTATTTTTTTGCAACATTATACTGTAATATTGCTTTATTACGTAGTATTTCATTAAAAGCATACTGAAAGAATTTATGAAAAATATATAAGAAATGGTATGTAATTTAACCATTTTGCCACAGTTTAACAGTGAAAAAAATGTATATGTTAATTGCAATGGTAACCAGACAAAAGGATTAAGTTTAAGTTTTATTCCAGTATATTCTAGAATTAAGCCTGTGTAACTCAGAGATCCAAACTTTTTTATTGCATTAATTTTAAATTTTAATTACGTAAATTGTAATTCTGTAACACTCTGTTATCATTAAAAATAAAAATGATAGCAAAACAATCTGAAATATTTCGATAATTGGTTGTATAGCAACAAAACAAGCTTTAAATAGTTGCCATTTAATTAATTTTCATGTCAGAATTTTCATGTTAACATTTAATTTTCATGTTAGAATCAAATCCTGCAATATCATTAAGGATTTAGAAATAAAAATGTGTAATAGTTCTGGGGAAAAAAACGAAAAACCTGTTTTTTCATCAAAAACGTGAAAATACACTGGTTAAGAGTTTTGAAATAGCCCAGGCCCAATTAGGCTGGACCTTCTCAAAAATACCTGTGTTTTTCCCTAACCCTGGTCAAAATCACTCTTTCCAAACCAACCATAAGTGCAGATTCATCAACGAGATATTTAAGGTTCACTTCGTTGCATATTATTGCACTACCAGGATCGATTTCACCACCTTCAGCTCTCCACCAATGTTGTCCGCGACAACTTAACAAGGTATTTCAAAACTCTGTCAAGGAAAATAAAAAAGTCATATTTTAAGTGCTTTACACTTGAAGCAAAGCGATAATTTAAAATTATATTCATCACTTTGCCGGGAATAATTATCTGGGCTTTAGAACAGACTTATAACTTAAATATTTTAAAAGTTATTAAATTCATTTAAGAATCGCCAATTTGGCAACATTTTTCCACTTAGATGAAAATTATCAAATTCACTACCTTATTCTCCTACTTTGCAAATTTTTATGAGCTCAAATATTGCAGCATTGGAATAAGTGTTTTAATATTAAAAAAAACAGACCCCTAACGATTTTCATCTTTACAAAACTGTGGCTTGTCTCCATAAGGACGTTTTGCGCCATTTTGCAAAATAAGCATGGACAGCATTGGCTGTAGATGATCTGAATCTGTCCTGTCAATCATGAACAATTATAGCGAACTCACAGCAGTTATGAAACCAGCATGTTATTCGCAAAAAAAAGCATCATTCCATCGGACGGATCTTTAGAAAAATTGTCTAAACCAATTGCACTACCAGGGTTTTACCCTTGAATTTCATGCTTATAAATTAACTTTATTGAATTTAAAAATAAGAGTAAAAATATTAGAAACTGCTGCACTAAATAAATCTTACCAAAAACTGTCATGAATTGTGCTCTTGAGTCCTGTCCTGCTAGAGAAGTTACCAAGCAGGTGTATTTACCACTTAGCTCGATTGAAGGTTGAGTTATTTTGAGAGCTCTGAACCTTTGATAGGCATCCACGGTATTGACGGTGTAGTTGAGATCAAGTCTGTCACTTAATATTCCAGACGTGTGCCTTACACCTAACTCAGGTATCCACTGGTAGACTGGTTGGAGATTCTCTTCAAAGAACCATTTCACTACGAGTTGAATATCATTCTCATTGTATACATAATCACAGTCAAGTGTCACGAAGCTTTCTGTGCCATTTTCTACCCAGCGGGGAACGGACAGCCGACGAATCTGAACTGCCAGAGAAACTGCAAAAAAAAATTTAAAAAAATTATTTATTTGTTACGCTTTAAAATATGTATGATTTCCAACCAAATGCACATGAATCCTATTAGAAATTGAAGGTGAAAAAGACACAAAATGTTGATCAAAAGTTCGAGTCTCTAATATTCAAATATTTATAGCTCAGACAAGTTTCTAAAACATTGCAAAAAGCCAGACCAATCAAACAAACCTTACCTTAACTTTCTTTTAACATTGTTTTGACAGTATATTTTTTAGGGGTTTTTTTTCTATTCTCTTCTCTTATCGTTTGCTGAAATAGCAAAGTATATCAAATGTTAATCTAAAGTTCGAATCTTTAAGATATGAATATTTGGATATGATACAAGTTTCCAAAATTTTTCAAAATGATTGTCAAAAGCCTGACAAAGTTAACTTAGGATTTCTTTTAGCATATTTTTGGCAGTTTTTTTTCAGGGCTTATTTTTATTCTCTTCTTTTATTGTTCACTTGACATACACATATGAATTTACAAAAATGCTTCGATGACAGATGAATCAAATCAAACAGTGTCGCCAGACCGTTTGTAAAGATTTAAAAATAATACATTCACCACAACATGCGGCAACTTCCAGAGTCTGACATTCTTGGCACAAGTAGGCAACCATTTCAGATAGAAAAAAAGGAGGAAAACTTATACCAGATCGACAATGGCTGGCTGTAGAATGTTTGACACATTAAGGTGCCAAATATAGTTTAGCAGACCCTGGAAGCTTTCAATATAATGATCGAGTGAAACACTGATTAAAAAGAAATTAACAATGTTTCAACTTAAAAAGTCAGTCCTTAAATAGCTAAAAATCTAAAAATAAATCTGATGCAACATACCTGGCCGCTACTTTTGCTTTCAATTTTATTTTTGTTTATGACATAGTCTTGATTATACTGGAGTGATTTTAGATCAAACAATTTAAATTAGATTTTTTTTATTGAATTAAGTTTTGACAAGATCATGATTATATGATATTTAGCACCATATTCCCTTGTCACGAGTTACGTATTTAAAAAGCGTTTTTTAGTTTTAAATAGTGTGTCCATACAGATTACTAATCACTTAAGCTTCTTTTATAACATTTCACAATGACGAATGCATTTTCAGATCAATTTTGTTTTACTTAGTGAGTTAAGATATTTTGAAAATTTTAAACTAGAAATGATCCTTGGGTTTAAATATTGCAAGCAAGATTATCTTTTCCTTATACGAATTTTATTTTCTTGAAATAATACCTCATTAATAACACAGTATATTACGCGCAAACCACTTAATTTCTCCTATTTACAACGCTGTTTTGAGAAAACACAGCGTACATAATTCAATGGTAAGGAAATAAGCATTGATTAACCCACTTTCCTGGCATCTCTTATTCGTAATGGCGATAAAATCTAATGGATTGCCTTAATGTAAATATATTCCATTCTTAACTGTGACAGGATGAAACAAAGTAATAGGGAAATAAAGTGACTTAAAAAGCTTTTTGCTTTTATTGTTGAAAATAAATCCTAAGCAATAAACCTGAAGGAGTTTTACTAAGTATTACTGTTCTAATTTTTTAACATTCACTCTTCTTTAAGTTTTATGAAATTAAATCAGCTTTCTAATTATAGTTCATTTTTATTCTGTTCAATATTTTATAAAAATTTCTTTTAACATTTTTAAATTTAGAAAGCAATTTTTCTCGGCAATAATTAAATATTTACAAGAAGTACAAATTACTTTTTTAATGCATTAATTTCATGACAGTCAATTTCCATGCATTAATGTCATTTGCTTAATTTTTCTTATATTTGTTACTTTTATCTCAAAAGTGAATACTTTGTTTTTTTTAAATCTAAAAAGTATGTTAATTAATAAATTAAATCAAACTTGAGAAACATGTGCTTTAGAATGATTCCTTTACGAATTAAATTTGCCTAAACCTTTTATTTTTTTAAAACTTTCATTATAATAACTTAACATACATTTTATAACAGTTGTAGTTAGCTGTTAGGTTAGGTATGGCATTATAACTCATATAGGCATACTTTGGAGGTTTTACTTTACAATAAATTAATTACTAATCATTATTAATTACTCATTAATTAATATTAAAATTAAAAATTTAAAAAAATTTTTAGCAACATTTTTTTAATTTTGAGCTTATAATATTTTTAAAATTTGAAGGTGACCTAGAGATTCACCTTTGAAGTATTTTTTAACATTGTTTGTTCATTTATTTTTTATTTATTTAATTATCCTGGATTTAATCTAAAAATATATTTCTTTTCTCTTTTTAATTTTGAATGCAAATATTTACCACTCTTTAATCTTTTTTTTTCTTCTCAGATACATAAACTTTAAAAAGCATAACTATCATGTCTCTAATAAAGAAAGCAAAGTTACTCCATTCAAAAGAGCCTAAAAATCAGTTTAGTAATCTTGGTACATATAGTTGAACAAAAACCTTATTAGTACATTTTTAACTATGTAATCTCATTGAAAAAGAATATCTCAATTATTTTATCATTTTTTACCTATTTCCAAAACATAATGTGTGACAAAAATAGTTTTAATTTCACCATGTGTTGAAGTTTCTGCTGAAATAAACTCTTCTGCTAAATTGATGGGATTTTATCAAGAAATATTTCGGTTTGAAACTTCGGTCTTGCTTTATTTAACCAGAAGATTTTTAGGCATTATGTATGTAATTATTTTAAATAGATTTCTTCCTGACCGAGTCATGATCAACAAAGCTAGCTTAAATATACTTATCGTAACGTTTCACAGTACACAGAAGAAACAAAATATATGCATTGCAAAATAGGAACAATCTACGTACTCATGTCCATAAATTAAGAATAATTCTGAATCAAAGAATCACACAAAATTGAAATCTAAAGTAAAAGTTCCCCAGTAGAATTATAGAATTATGGCACACGCCTTCAAGACTAGTTCATATACAAGTTCTAGGACACAATATTAATGGTTCGAAGGGGTGATCTCAAATATGTATGCATATATCAAATCATCAAATTCATGTATTCAAATATCAAATTTTGTTTTTTGGCCATGTAAAATTATATTCTTCAAAATAATGCAAAAAACTTTTGTATCTTACTATTCACCATTTTTTCAACCATTATTAAATAAAATACTAAGAAATAATAAATATTTGCTACAAATTAATTTTTGCATTAAATTATCTTTGGATAGACAAATTTTATAATTCTGTGCAAAAAATTTTTAGTTCACTAAAAAACTTCTCGAGATAAGGAAAAAGACATACAAATTGGGAGTGCTCTTCTGACCAAACTATTGAGTCCATATTGCCAAAATTGCTGCTAACCCCTATATTTTGGGGGTTCAGAGATCCGGATCCATTGAAAAAAAAGGTATATTTATTCATAGAAAGTACGATTTTGTGTCTGATCTCGCAACTTAAAATATCTTCTGCACTTATTAATTAGCATATTTGAGATCACCGAATCGAGTCATTAAGATAGGGTCCAATCATTAAATCAAAGGTTATGCAGGATTGTCCGTTTTTTATGCGCACTGTAAATCAAAATATTTCTCAGAGTTTAATGTCTTGTAAACGAAGAAAAAGAGTTGAAAATCATGGATTATCCTGTTAATTGAATGACAGTCAAATTATTTTCTCAGACTCCCTAAGAGAGATCAGGAGCCAGACCATTAGCCTGAAAAATAGTATTGAAACAGTGTAAAAAGCACAAATAAATGAGTACGATTAATAAAAGACCATTTCGGTAGCTTTAAGTAAACACCATTATCAGTACTGAGCATTGATTTGATACTGTCTCTGCACTGTTAATGGTACTGCTTTGATATAATAAGTAAGTTATCCGGCATTATTTAAAACACATTATGTAGGCTCATTAAGTTTCTTTCATATTATTTCTCTATTAACACAAAAAGCACCCTACTTGTGGACTATATTGCATTTAGAATAGAAATTTCCATATATATTTTGAAACATTTAGATTTTTTTCTTATTATTTCTGAAAATTCAGCAACAGTCAGAAAAATATCCCCAAAATCTCATTTAAATTCATGGAATTCAAAATCCTTTTCGGTATACATATATATATATATATCTCATAAAAACATCAAGATGCAAATCTCTACTGTGTCATTTCGCAGAATCAAAACTTCGTTTCCCACAGTCGAAAAACAGTAATAATCGTCTCACTAAAGAACATAGAAAAGGAATAAAAATATTCAAAAAAAAGTCATATTCGTCGTCAAAATATATATTATCCATCACAAACGTTTTCTTTAAAAAAAAATTTCAAAAAGAAGATTCTTTACGGAAAATCGTCATTCCTGAATCTAAGAACGTTTAGGGAGCCATTAGAGAGCTAGACAACGAATTTAATGGTTCGAATTCTTGTACATCAAAACAGTTCTCAGCGTTTAATGTCCTGTAAACGGGGAAAGGGAGAAGGAAATCCTGACTTATTCTGTCAATTGAATGACAGTCAAATTATTCCCTCAGATTCCCAGGGGGAGACTTATGAAAGAGAGAAAGTCTTCGGCGGAAGTAAATTGAGTGAATATCTGGAATTTGTAAGACCCCGGGGGGAATTGTTTTCATTGAAAAGAAAGAGATACAATCGATGATATTAGGTTGATCTTCAAAGTAACTGAAAAATTACCCCTTTTTGGGTTTTAAATTAAAAGAGTTGTTGTTCGTTAAGTTGTTATGAAAATAGGAACATGAAAGTTGAAATTGAATATATTTAATGATACATATATATATATATATTCCCAAATGCTTAAAATACGCACAATAGAAAATTATTTTATGATGTGTTTTAATAAATTTCTATGCTACTTAATAATGGTGTATAGCAAAGAAATTAAATTTTCCGTGATATGTTGCGTTTAAATATACAAAACGTTTCATAATATATCGTAAAATTCATGATTGCTTTGTTTTGCAATTACCACACACAGAATGCTTGTGCT